AGGATATTTTTGTGATCTTGTTCTGTTGCCATGGTTTTCTTCTAGTCTTTGGGTCAGGGAAACACAGATTATTTATGAAAACCATGTAGACTCAATATGGCAGACTAAGCTAACTCAGAAAAGATCTTTCCAAAAACACAGAAGTGTCAGGTGAAATAAAAGCAAAAACAGGCTTTTGATATGTAATTAAGCTTGAAAGAAAGATGAAGAAATCCAGGTAGCAAAAATAAAGACATCAAAACGAGCAGGTTAAGAGGGTACTGAGGCTGAGGGGGCTGCACAGGAGTATCAGAGGCCGCAGTTTCAGGGGTTAATGTAGGAAGAGGAGAAAAGGCCTCAGACCCACCCTGACATGTGTCAGAAGTCCATGCTTCAAGCTGCAGATTTTGCAGGGATGCCGTTTGAGTGAAACAGAAACACGAAAAGTTTTACTCTTTAAAGTAAAACAAATCATATATTATGTGCATAGGGGAAAAGATGGAAGAAAGAAATCAAGAGCCCTTGTTTATAATATGAGGTCCAATTGTAGACACTTATGCTACAGGAGCCCAAATGAAGATATTAATATAAAAACTGATGTTACCTGTATGTCCTAGGCAGAGGTGAAAAGAAAAATCATTCTGAAGAACTAGAGCACACAGAGGAAAGCTACCGTGATGAGAGGGAGTCACTGGGTACCACGCATAGAAAAGTAGCTCCTCAAGAAGTAGCGATGCAAAGAAAGTCTAAAAGCGTCTATAAACACTGATGAAGGAAGATGGAGACATCAAAGAGCAAGAGGAGAACAGTGTGTAAGAACAGGAAGATTTGGAAGAAAAATAAAATACACAGACATGAAAAGCATAAGGGTTTAAATTAAAACATACGGACAGTTTTAAATTAGGTTGGATAGAGCTGAAGGGATAAAGGCAAAGGAAAATGTGCCCATGTAGGAACTGTAGAAGACAGAATGAGATAGATATATAGATACTGTATATACTGTAGATAGAAGCTGCAGGAGGAGCACAAATAGCAAGTGGGAGAGAGCTGGGATTCACAGTGTTTTGCATAAGTGAAGATAAATCTTTAGGTTACTATATAGCTTTTTAGGCCTGCAAACAAACCCACAGCTCCTCATGCAAAGCTAAGTGTCCTTGTGAAAATGCAGATAGTCAGGGACAAAGGGAATTGCTGTAAAAGCAACCCGAAGAAAAGACAGATTGTAGACACGGGGAAATCAGAGTTGAGTGTTGGAAGTCTTTGTATCAAGAGGTGGATAAAACTGTTTTCTAATTTTGACTTTGTCAAATATATAGGTTAGAAACTAAAGTTTGGCCACTCATATAATAATACTTCTGTAAGCCAAATGATATAAGAAAATAAGAAAGGAGAAAAAAAGAGCAAAGGAAAAGGGAACAGTATGATAAACAAGAAGCATGACATCAATGACCCCATTTACACATATTTTAAAACATAACTGTGTTTTGATAGTGCATATATGTGGACCAAAAGTATAAAATATGGGCAGCAAGGTTATTTCTAACGTTTTTATAGAAGAAAGAAGATTGGGGAGTGTGAGGGGACTTTATATTTGAGTTTTTTATTATTTTGATGATATCTGGACGTGTAGGCACACTCCTGACGTTTGCAGAACTTGGTATGAGTACAGATGGGGGCCGCCTACCACACCTAACTATGTGACAATTACAAATCAAGATAACAAACAGTTTTATGCCTTGATGATGAAACCTTCATAAAGATTGTCATGCCCTGTAATTCCTGGCTTCTTGGAAGCCTTCAGCCAGAGTATGGGGGCATGGGGAAGACCAGCTCACTGGGTACCCGCTTTCAGACCCCAGCTCTGTCCTGCACTCTGAGGGGATTGGCACACAAGTGGGTGCACATTACAGGCCACACATTCGGGCTCTTTCAATACTCCTTGCAAAATCATGCCTTGGCCACCCCTACAGGCCTAGCACTGTATTGGCTGTATGATCTATTTTCAGGGCAGTGGAAACCGGATTAGCCTGCATGCACACGTGGAGGTCACTGACAGGGTCTTGCAGGCTTCCAGATACCTGAGTAGGAAACCAGGAGTAGGCCATGGGTAAGCATGTCTCCTTGGCCCTGTAGACCCCTCGAGTAGAGGATGGGCTGTGGCACAGAGTGGAACCCTCTCAAATAAGTTAAATTGTTTATATTTCATTATAAAAGGGAAGAGAGAACAGCATGCGATACTCCACAGGGAACAGGGCAGTGCCTGCTCAGCACAGATTGTGGACAGGAGCCCTGCCCAGGGGCCCGTGTGACTTCTGTAGAGTCATCAGGCACAGTGGACACCCTGTTTCCTCACCTGCCTTGGGAGAGGCCCGCATATGGGATTTCAGCAATCCCTCCCACTTCTGTGGTTCTGTGATATTCTCCTGAGCCACAGTGGGAGCTGCTTCTGGGATGTCCTGGGTGGAGGAGGGGGGTGGGGGAAATTCTCAGGCCTGCATCACTCCCAGGTCCTATTTATGTCCCCACATGGGGCCAGCGAGCAAGCTGCCCCCAACAGTAGGAGGAGCCCCTCCCTGAGCTCGCCCCGCAGCCAGACAGCACAAGGAGCTGTGGATGGTAGGGGACAGCAGCTACACAGGTGCTCGCTCCTTGGGCATCTGTGTGTCCTTGCAGTCCAGGGCAGTTACTTAGCTGGGCTTAGGAGATTATTTTGGTCCATGGGAGAAAGGGAAAGAGGAACAAATGTGAAAGAGCCCAAACAGTACTTTTCTTCCTCAACCATCAGGTATTTGGCCAAGCTTAGCTGGCTGAGACTCACCCTTAATTGCTGATGAATTAAACGTTATCATTTCAGCCAAGACAGTCCTAAATGAATTTCAGCTCAAAGAGCCATGAAGAACCCCCAGGGCCTCCCTCCTGTCTTGAAAGCCTGGGGAGAGCTAGGAGGGGCTGTGATCAGGGGAAAGGCCTCCTCAGGCTCAGGTGTCATAGACCGGGGTTGGGGTGGGGAGGTGTTTGCAGTGCCTCATATGTGGGTCACTGCAGAAGTTTTGAAACAGACTGTGTTATGGTCCATTATTTCACTTCTGAGAAACCCAGTTGACAGTGGCCTTTCTGGTTTGCCTGTCCAAGTTCCAATCTGCTCAGCTTGTCAGTGTTGCTGGGAGGGCTTCATTTGTTTCCATCCCCACAGATTTTATTTCTTGGTTTTTGTGTATCTCAAAACTTTCCCGATGACTCACATATAACTTCGTGTGTGCTCACATTCCTACAAGCAAGATTAGTGTGTATTAGTCTGCTCAGCTGCTATAACTAAGTGCCTCAGACTGGGGGCTTACGAGAGTTTTATTTTCTCATCATTCTGGAGACCAGAAGTCTGAAATCAAGGTGTATAAAGGGCTGGTTTCTCCTGTGGCCGCTCTCCTTCACTTGCAGAGGGCCCCCTTCTCCCTGTGTCCTTGCCTGGTCTTCCAGCCGTGCCTACCTGTGTCCTAACCTCCCCATAGGAAGACACCAGTCAGAGTGGATTAGGGCCCACCCTAATGAGCTCATTTTACCTTGATTACCTCTTTAAAGACCCCATCTCCAGACATAGTCCCATTGTGAGGTGCTAGGGTTTGGGCTTCAGCATATGAATTGGGGAAGAGGAAGACACAGTTCAGCCCATGGTGGGCTGGGGGGCATCAGCAAACTCCCATACACCAGAAGCCTCTTGTTGGGCCAAGCAAAATGGCGTCCTGATACTGAGAGCGACGCGCTCGGGCCTGCCAGGACGGTCTGTAAGCGCTCCCTTTTGGTTTGTAGTAATAAACAGATATCCTCCCAGGCAGCTCCATATGTCTTCACAGAAGTGGCAGCCTTAGAAGGAATACTTTCAGGATAGGCAGGGAGAGCATCTTACCCTGTGTTTCATTGATTTTTTAAACTTTTTTTATTTCAGATTAATATGAGGGTACATACAATTAGGTAACACTGTTTGCATCTGTTAGGAAAAGTCGGAGTCGTATTTGAGTCCTTTACCCCGGAGGTGTGCCCTATACCCCTGCCCTGTACCCACTGGGTGGGAGCTTACTGAGCCCCTTCCCACACTTCCCTTTTTCTTGAATTTAATTGTGGTTTTCTCTCGTGTGGGGCTATAGTTGTTCATCTACTAGACTCAAATTAGTACTGAGTATATTGGATACTTGCTTTTCCATTCTTCAGATATTTTACTAAGGAGAATGTTCTTCAACTCTGTCCAGGTAAATACAAAAGATGTACTTTCCACCTTCTCTGTGGCTGGATAGTAGCCGATGGTATACATATACCACAGTTTATTAATCCCTTCCCAGGTTGATGGGCACTTGGGTTGCTTCCACCTCTTTGCAACTGGGCATTGAGCTGCTATAAACATTTGAGTGCATATGTCCTTAGGATAAAATGATTTTTTTTCCTTCTAGATATAGACCTAGTCGTGAGATTGTGGAACCCAAGCATTCATCCTTAGGTTTTAGAAGAAAACTCATCTTCATTGGCCTTGGGGTTCAAAACAAGCATCATGTTCGGGAAGAAGCAGCCAGACTCTGTATGGGGTCCCATGGGGTCCCTGTGGGGCTCTGACCCCATGCAGGGCGTGGGGCTGCAGATGGCAGCAAGGCTGAGACATTTACTGCAGAAACATAATCATTCCTCACAGAAGTGTTGAGGGAAGCCTGGGGTTCTGCCAGGCATGAAAAGTGTACCACTTGTTGTACACTTCAGTGAGGAGGAGGGCAGTGCTTGGAAGCCTGGGTGCAGGACTGATGGAAGGAGGGCCCTTTCATAAACCGGGGAGCAGCAGCAAGGGGCCGCGACAGCATCTTCTGTAAACAACTACTGCTTGTGAAACACCACGTCTTCATCTTCGGAGACGTGGAGGAGCCCACCCCACCCCACCTATGTCTGGTCTTTCTTGTTTTCAAAACTTAAGTCGTTCCCGAATCCTCCTGTGTTGTGTTCAGTTGTGCTTAAGTGGGGAAACTGACTCTTTGCTTTGCCCGCAGGCTGAACGAGCGGGATCGCCTGATCAAGAGGCTGGGTCGGAAGACACCTCCCACCCTCTTCCGAGGCAGCTCCATCCAGCAGTCTGTCCCTCGTGAGTATGACAGCAGCTGCTGTCCCTTTCTGGGCAGGAGACCCTGGCCAGTAGCCAGGGCTGGCGGTGGTAGTCGAGGCAGCACCAGATGCACACTTTTGGAATTGAAACTGTTTTGGGCCTGAGGCAAGTGCTACTTGAATATAGGTTAATTCCCTGGGACCCGGGCAGATACTCCAATGACAAAATTCCTAAACTTAAACTCCTGATATAGTGAAGAGCATTCTGTCAGCTTCCCAAGAGGATTTTTTTTAAGTTGAGGTGATATTACTTTTAAATTGTTGCCCTAAAGTAGCAGTATGATCTGTTTTGTGTAATATTGCCATATTAATTGAAACAATGACAGTCAGTAGGGAGAAAACCTGTGCTTTTCCCAGGAAGGCTGCCCCATGTAGAGACTATAAAAGACATCCCCTCCTTTGTTTAACAACCCAGCCATGCACCTCCTAGCTGCAGGGGGCCAGGCCTCTTCCAGCTTCTTTCCACCTCGTACACACACACACACACACACACACACACACACACACACATCATGTCTTCCTCCCACACCCCACCCCCTGTTTTCCTTTCCCTTTCTGAGGACTTAGGAGTTTAGAAGGAACCGGTTAAAAAAAACAAAAAAAACCAGTTCATGAAAAGTAAAGAAGAATCACCATACATTTAGTGCTGTTGAGTTCAGCTGGGCTCCATCTCTCTGTGAAACTTTGTTAGTAAAGCAGGGAGAGGTAGGAGTCATCCACTCCCACTCCCCACTTTCTCGTATGGGAGAAAAGGCACTGACACGCTTCTGTCCTTCAGTTCCCACCACCCCAGGAGATGGGTGGTGCCACCCCGAAAGCAGAAGCAGAGGCTCAGGGCAGTAGCGTTGCCCTGGACTCTGGATCACAGCCGTGGACGCTGGCCCAAGAGAGAGGTTCGAGCTGAGAGGTTTGATGGAAAACTCCAAGGAGTGCAGTCTGCAGGGCACCAACTCTGGAGCAGGGCTGCCTGGGTCATGACTCTGCTCTGCCACCTTTTGTGATCTTGGGCAAGTTATTATACTTCATTTCTCTGTTTCTATGTCTGGAGAATGAGGGTAATGTGAGAACTTACTTGGGATTCATGGGGAGAAGTAAATGAGTCCACATATACAAAGTGCCTATATCGTGCCCCGGCAATATAAAGAGTCCAATTAAATGTTAAGTTTATTATTCTTCCCTTAGCTGAATAACTTTAGGTACTTACCTATTTCCCTAAATTGCCATTTTCTCTGGAAAAAGAAACAGAATCATAGTAATGTACATCCCACACATTCCTTGTGAGTCTTTGCGACATTGTGTGTAAAGCACCTTCTGTACACCAGGCACCCGGAAAACACCTGCAGATTCCCAGCACTATGGGGTTCACTCTTTGGGGCCACACATCTTCTCTGATAAAAGGTTCAAAGTAACCACAAAATGTATACAACACACACATACATACATACACACAGAGCCCTCAGTGATCAAAGACCAAGGGAGAACTTTTATGGGAGAGTCGTAAATATCTTAAAACAACCTACTCGGTGTTTTTCTTAAGTCAGTATCTTAAAAGCGCAAAAAAAAAAAACAAAAAAAACAAAACTCCTGAACAAATAAATATAAGAAATGTGAAAGATTCTGAAATCACATCGCATGAAAAAAACATTCAGTGGCCAGTTCTAGAACAGATATTTCTGTCCTTACCAACTGGAGGAAACATTGAGTGATCAGGATTAGTCCTGGAGTACAAGGCCTGCACAGCTTGTCTCAGCCTTTGACTTTCCTTCAGGTCTGTGCAGGAAAATGGACAGGAAAACTCTCATCTTGGTAGGACTTACAGTTCCTGTGAGCCACCAACCTCTGATACTCATAACCAAGACCTGAATTTCCTTGGCAGTCTGGTTTCCTCATCTTCCCATGGTCTTCCCAATTTCTGTGGCTGTTAGAATGTTTTTCCAGACAGTAACCTGCTAGTTTTATTAAGATGCTATCAGAGCTTAAATTCAAAGGAATGCTACTTAAGGGGGTGTTAATCCAAAATTAGTGAAAAAAGAGGACATGATTTTATGGACTTTACCAAATGTTCTACTTGAAGAAAAAACAGTTAAGAAAGTCATCTATCCTCTCATCTCTGTCCACTTCGTCAATTCTGTCCTGGGATTCTGGCTGTAGCTGGCTGAGTATTTAGGAAGCCAGCCAGGGAAAGTCACAGGCAATTCCCTAGAGTGTAGCCTCCAGGCCATCTGGTCTCTCAGGACTTCCAGCAGGGTGAGTGAACATAGAAGATGCAAGCGCTGGAGGCTTCCCCTGAGCTCCCTATATGGATTCAAATAACCATTCAGTCTTCCTCCGGCAGAACCTGGTAAGCTGATCCCAGCTGCCTCTTGTCAGGCTGTGGGCAGAGGCTGGGCAGGTAGAAGTAGGCTAAGTGATTACATTGCTGTTTCCACAAAAACTTCTCCATTGGCTAGGTGCCTATAGCTCACCCGGCTAAGGCGCCAGCCACGTACACCTAAGGTGGCGGGTTCGAATCCCCAGCCCGGACCCGCCAAACAACAATGACAGCTGCAACCAAAAAATAGCCGGGTTTTGTGGCGGGCGCCTGTGGTCCCAGCTACTTGGGAGGCGGAGGCAGGAGACTCGCTTGAGCCCAGGAGTTGGAGGTTGCTGTGAGCTGTAATGCCACGGCACTCTACCCAGGGGGACAGCTTGAGGCTCTGTCTCAAAAAAAAAAAAAACTTCTCCATTAAGGAGCTAATTCCCACCAGCCCTGTTTAATAAGAGGAAAATATTTTATCTGAACCTGGGAAGACACCCCCACTGACAACAACCACCACCACCAAGGATAAACCTAAGAAGCCATCCTCCTCTCATTCCTGAATGTTGGAGTCCGCCTTAATTTTCAGTTAAGGTTGAGGAGATCTTGGAGCATAGCATTTGGGAAACATGATGGTAGGTGCAGCTAGAAGATGTTGGGGTGTGGGGAAGCACTTGGCAGTGACCACTGGGTGCTCCACTTACCCTGGGAGAAAAGGTCTGCAGTAGGACCAGGAGGGACACGCCTCTCTGTCACTTCTGAGGGCAACCTGGAAACCCTTCCCAACCCAGAATGGCTGGGTTGTCCCACTCCCTCCATGCGAGGCCCCTGTGGCAGTGGCACTAATGTAAACTAAGGAAGTAATACAGCTCTGAGCTGAAGAAGCCTCCAGAACTGGTTCCCCAGCAGGTATGTTAGGATAAAAAACAGGACCCATTTGAGCATGCAGTAGACTATTTTAAAAGGTAAGATACCTTTCCCCGAAGGACACTCCCAAACAATGTTATTTTTATGTCTCACTCAGTCCTCTTATCCCCCTCATCCCTTACCCCCAACCCTCACAACACAAAGACCCCCCCCAAAAAAAAAATAGTGAGTAATTGATGTATTTGACTGTTGAGATAGGCTTCTTTTCCTTTCTGGCATGGATGGAGGCCTTCCCTGTTGGTGCAGAGTAAAATTAGCACTGAAGGAGGGAGAGAGGATTGTACAGCCTGAGAGTGGCTGGCCACAAGAGTGCCTGGAAGCCCAGAAGGAGGGCTAGAGCTAGAGGGCCCCTGCCCAGCTTGCGGTCCTTTGGGCCCCAGGATCCAAGATGAAAGTTGAGCAAATGAACAAAGCTGTCTGCAGGGTGGAGAGCTACGTAGGCCTTCATCCTCCACCAGAAGTATTTATAAAGAGCAGTCCAATTGCTTGGGGCAACCAGGCCTTACTCAGAACCCTGCAGTGGTATATCCCTCTGAGTACCCAGCAGCCACAGAGTCCATGGCAGGTCTTCCTCCCCAGCAGCCACACCAGATCCCAAGACAGCAGCTGCCTGGGCCCTCAGGAGAACACCAGGTGTGTCCTAAAACATTCTTTTTTAAAAGACCAGAGAATGAAAATTGTCCAAGTTGACCACACGGTACACAGCCTTATTACTAGAAGAGACAGTGTTATTTGCTGGATTTTGCTTTGAAACATCCCAAGGAAAGGCGTCTCCTCTTGGACTGCAGTGGAAATGCTTCACAAAGAGGACCTTGTATGGGGTTTGGGACGGGAGGTATGTGAGCCAGAGGTCACCAGAGGGAGGCAGAAGGTTGGGGCAGCTCTGCCAAAGCAGAAGCCAGGGGCAGTGGAAGTTTCCTTCTCCCTGGCGATCTCTGATCAAGCCCCTTGGCTAAAATCCAGAAGTTCTCAAGGGAACAGAGGTGAGTGGTGGCATTTGCTCTTCAGTGGTTGGCAGATCGGGTGAAGACTCTAAAGCCATCTTGTGTGGAAAGCCATCCTCAGGAAGTTCAAGTGCACCAGGGGTGGGCCCAGAGCCAGAACAAATGAATGAGCACGTTCACCCTGAGGGAGCCTCCCCCTCCAGGCTGGTTCCTGCCTCCCCACTCAGGGACCTGCCTGCACTTGAAACCTGTTACCATGCCTACCACACGGTGGGGTTTCGTGGTTTATGGGTTTTGCTCTGCTAGAGACAGAAGCCCCTATGGAAGACTCCTGTCTGTACTTCTGCAACCCCACTTGCAGTGCTCTGCTATCACTCCGACCCATCTCTTTCCCCCTGGGCCTTGCTGGTTGAGGCAGCTCAGCCCCTGTGCGCTCAGTCAACCCCAAGGCCACCTCCCTTTCCTCCCAGGATGGCGCACCTGAGCCATGGGTTTCCCTGGGCAGTGGTGGGAAGGCGTGCTCTCCAGAAGAGCTGGGAAGCCAGCCCAAGCACTGGTACTGTCAGTTAGTGGTCACATACACAGTAAGCAAACAGCTTGGGCATCTTCATTTGAAGTGTCTGCTTCTTCTCCCTCTCCACAAAGACTTTTATACATTGCTATCGTTATGTCTTGATACCCTAGAAAATTTCCTTTTAAGCCAAATGTCTTAGAACATTAAACCAGCTTCCGGGACCTGATCCATGGGCATATTTTTGACATCTTTTTCTCCTTTTAAGGAGTATGACAGTGAATGAACAGCTCCATTGATAAAGCAGAAACACACATACAATGGGGTTGTGATTATCAGTCTTTGGGCCAGAATGTGTAACTGAGCCATGGGAATTTCCCATACCCGTGACACAGAGGGGTTAGCCAAAGAGGGTGAGTCTTTTAACTGCCCTTCTTGTGGGAAGGGCCATTTGGAAGCAAAGCCCCACTCTGGGCTTCTGATTGCTAAATCTCAGTCATAGCTGGAGATGCAGGAGAGCATGGGCCTGGCAGGCATGCTGCCTGGGTTTGCTGCCCAGCCCTGCCACACCACATGTGTGATGTTGGGCAAGTCACAAAATTCCTGCCTCAATTTTCCCATCTGTGAAGTGGGAAGAATACAATCATACATCTCATGGTGTTGCTGGGAAAACCAAAGAGGCTATTTGTAAACGGAATGGGGAACTGTGCCTCATGCACATAGTGTTTAGTCAGTGTTTCTGTCGTTTATTTTATTAGTAGTAGATGAACTGGTTGTGAGCGGTCTTTCTGTGGCCATGGATCTAATCACTAATTCACACGTAAACAGACCTCTTTGATGACTTACTAACAGTCCAAATTAGTCTGACGTTAAAAGAAGCATCATGGGCACTTTGCCAACTTCCACTGTTGACACGGCATGTGTTTCCCCAGCATATGTGCAGCTCTGACATTAGCTGGCCTGTAGTGTCCGGCAGAGGGGCATTTCTCTTTGATGAATGATTGGAAAGTAGAATCACGGCCAGTACCCCTTTGCAAGTGCTTCCCTAGCTGAGCTCAGCCACAACCCCAAGAGGAGGAAACCTGCCCTTTAAAGCCCTTCCTGCCTCAGCATCAGCAACCAGATCCACTGGGCCCCGTCAGGCCTCAGCCCACCAACACGCTGTTGGCCACAGGTTTCTTCGTCTGGGGCCTCCACTCATCCAAGGCTGTGGAGGCTGTTCACCTGTGTGCACCTGGGAAAGCAGCCTGTACTAAGCCGGTGTGGTCCCCAGTTCTCCAGTTAACCAGTTCCTCCTGTGTGCTTCTCTTTCAGATGGGTATGCTTTTTCCCAAGAAGAACACGGAGCTGTTACTCAGGAAGAAATAGTCCGTTCTTATGACACCACCAAAAAGAAATCAAAGAAGAAATAAGACTTGTGTTTTCCTGGCTCATCCTAGGAAAGAGATTCAGTTTGTTGCATCCAGTGTTAACACATCTTCATCAGAAGAGACCGGACCGGTGTCAGCAGCCAAACCACTGGAAAACACATTTCTGTGGCCTTAGCCAAGCAGTTTGTTAGTAACACATATCCCTTGCAAACCCGGAGCACGGACCACAAGGAAGCCATCTTTTCCCTCCCAGTTAGTCTGCAGTGCATAGCCTAACTTTTGTTTACCTTGTTATGAAGCATTCAACTGTGCTCTGTGAGGTGTGAAATTAAAAACATTATGTCCCACGAGTATTTAAACATCAGTGCTAGTTGTTCTGGGAGAAAGGGAAAGGAGTTTTATGTTGCGTGCAAATCCCCATCTCATGTAATTGGGGAGGGCCACACTTAACTTCCTGTTTGGTTAACTCACAGATTGGGGCCAGTGGACAGCATGCAAACTTCACTTCAGGCAGGTTGCTCTCGTGCTTTGATTCCTGTTTTGTTTGTATGAAATTGGCATAAACTTCTTGATTGCAGTGAAATAGCAAAACTCTGCATCTGGGTGGTCAACCTGAGAACACTGTTTGAACCTCTTAGCCACATTCCCAGCAGGACAAACCAATCCATATCTCAACCAAGTCCTCTGCACCCAATTTCCAGGTGCCATCAGCCTGGTCCTGCCTTTGCTGTCCTGTTTGCCTCATTCCCAGACCTTCTGCATGGCTGGCCACTGTGCCCAGTGCATGGCCGCTGGTGGGCAACCAGCCCAAATCTGCACTTTTCCTCCTTTCACTGCGGATTCAAATAGAGATGCGAGAAACCCCTTTTCCACCATTATTTTTCATTCTATAACTGAAGAAAAGAAATGTAGCCATTCGACATATACCATATTCTAAATGTCTATCTGCCTTTTACTGAGAAGGGCACAGGGTGGGCCAGGGTGTGGTAGAGCACCTGCAGCACTCCTGGCCGTGGTGAGGCAGAGCGCCTGCAGCACTCCTGGCCGTGGTGAGGCTCTGAATCCCCATTTCCCAACTTCCCAGCCACTGGGCCCGTGGCATCCACTTAAATCAGAACCCATGCTTGTTTTCTTAGGATTCAGAGCACATTTTGGATTTTTACTGTTGGGAAATGAATGAATTTATGACATACCTACACAGTGAAGTGACACGTCTGTCACTCTGTAGCTGTCAAGTCAGAGAATGGGTAAAGCCAGTCGGGAGGGTATAAGATGTTGAGGGAGGTGGAGGTGATGACCACAGAAGTCCTCAAAGGGAGAAGGAAGGGCACAGGGTCACTGGGAGGAAGACACAGGAATTGTCTGCCAGGTCTCCATAGAAACTCTGAACAAGCCCTAAGGCCCAGCCAGACGGTTGTCACAATCAGCCTAGTGTGTATAGGAGCTTCAACAAGCCCTGGATGGGGTGTGCAGTTTTAATTGAAATGAATTGCAAGCATTTCATGGAAACACATTTTTGTTAGTATTGATGTGGTTTCCTCTCTTTGTCTGATCAGTGTTAAGCTTGGATACCTTTCTGAATACAGTGTCCTGGATTCTAAGACAAGGAAGTGCTGCCCATTGCCTTTCCCAGCTAGAGTCCTATATCTGGACAGAACCCTCAGGCATGACAGTGAGCTCCGGAGCCCCTAATACACGGCCAGCCTGCTGCGCACTCTGCTCTGCTCTGCTCTGCTCTGCTTTGCTTGCCAAACTAGATTTTTGGATGGCTTAAATACTTTTTGGGCAGCTGTCACTGGTTGAAATGCCATAGTCCATAGGATGGTCGTGCTAACAGAGGAAGACAGCAGTGCACTTTGTTTTTTGTTCACTTTCAGAATATCCACAGCTCACCGGGCATTGAAATAATGTAGAATACAATTTTCACTGACTAGGAAAACTAATCCTCACTTCTGAGGTGACCAGGCTGCTGAGAAGGCTGAGGAGAAACAGAACAGTGCAATTAACAATAGCGTCTCAAAAAATGGGTATCTCTTTCTCTCCAAGGTGAAGAAAACATTCTAAAATACAAGAGCAAAATAAGTAAAAAATACTACAGCACCCAGCAAGATTCTGTCCTTTCTGAAGAACTGTGATACAGGAGTTAGAACACAAAATGTGCCTGTGATTAACACAATAAACCAAGGTGTATGTCTTTATTGCACACCCAGAAAGATGATGGCCAAAATACAGAGGAGAAACTAAAAACGGAATTGAATGCCATTAGGCATCTTAACTATTTTGTTTCACTGGGGAACTAAACCTGTTTGGAAAGAGTGAATTAAAAGTCAATTCTTTGTCAAACACTTAGCTCTGTCTTGAAGTTGAAACCTTCCAAATCAGATTTGTAAATGAAAATGTGGGTTTAGGTTTGTTTGGGGGTTGGAGGATTGTTTATTTATTACATTACAGTTCACATTTTCTGGATTTGAGCATTCAGGTATATTTTCCCATTCTTTTGAGAAGTAGACGGACTAGTTTTTGCTATAGTATTCACACAGAAGAACACATTACGAGGGATATATATTTATCCTGTCATGTGATTAGGCTTTCATACAGCCAGATGACTAAATGGGTTTCTAGGAGGAGCAGCTGTCACTATGTGTGATGTATAATACTTGACCATGCCTGACTCAGGGGCTGTTTCATTTGTTCTATCTTTAAACTGAGGTCAGAGTGTCACATACAACCCCTCCCCAGGGAGCAGAGGGTGGGAGGTATTGGACTAGGTCGCATACCCTGGCTGTCAGCTCAGCAGGAGAAATGCCACATGGGACTTGTCACTCTGCCACACAGCAAGTGACTCACAGGCTGGCAGGTCAGACTCCACACTCCAGGGCCTAATTTTGGATTGAGCTAAATGGGCAGGATCCAACCAGGCCAACCCTTGGTGCTTCCCATGGACAGCCCACTCCTCTCTGAGTCTCTGCTCTGTTCTGGCTGACACTGCAAAAGGAAAAGACCAGCCATGCTCTGAACTTAGTTCTGGGTTTCTGCTGTGCACACTGGCATGTGCCATGAGGGAGGGGAGAGCATCATAACACCCCCTTTCTGTTTGGCATTCTAGAGTAACACTTCAGATGTAAGCTGATTGGAAGGGGCTTCATAAAAAGGTAGACAGTGGAGCTGCTGTGGCTGTCTTCTGTGCAGAGTACTTGGGTTTCCTGACCAAGGTTGTGTTTGTAACCATTTCCCTATACACACGTGCACATGTGAAAACAAAAGCAGGATGAGCTTTCGGACCAGAACACTACAAAACCTGGGTACCAGAGAAAGGAGAGACGGTTTCTTTAACACTTGCAGAAGCGTATCTTAAGAAGCAAACTTGGGTTTCAGGAGAGCTCGGCTGAGAACTGTTGACATTTTCTTTTCCCTGACAGGGCTTCAGGTCTTACTATAAGGGGAGCTGGTAGTGAAAATCAGTAGTGATGTGTCAAGAAGCAGTGAATAATAGGAAAAAAAACCCCCTGAGTCTGAGTAACTAATATCTGAAAACTCATGTGTATGTATGTGTGTGTGTACATATATACACAGGCTCTAAGTTGAATGGTTTTTTTGAACCGTACAAAAGAAATTTTTGTCTGATATTTCTGTTCCTAGGGATTTAAGTCTTAAAACTGTAAGTTAAACAGAAAGTTTACAAAACTCTGCTATGGTAGTCTTTGGTTTTGAACTTGTGAAAGGACTGCACATATTCAGCCAGCGCTTGAGTTACTACCCAGGGTCACTGTCCCAAAGTAATTCAAAGAGCAAGTCAGCATCAGCATTTGAAATGTGGCCTTCATCTCCTGGGATCCATAAAAATTGTGAACAGGGAAACTGTGGCTAGACAGAGCCTGAGTTAATACCGTGGCAAAGAAATGAGTTTATCTATCAGTTTAAGTCCAAAGATAGCATCCCCTATCACACTCATGAAACACTTTCTTCATACAAATGTTTAAATGAGCTAACATGATGATGGGGATAGTTAAAATTAAGTCCCTTCCCTTCAAAAAAAAAAAAAAAAAGAGTGGCTTTTTTGTTCTTTCTTCAGTGGCTCAGGGCAGTTATCTGTCTCAATACAGCCTTCGAGAAATTTATTTAACCTCATCTGAGCCATTTTTCCATCCTGAAGGACAAGGAAGACCATTAGAAAGGTTTCTGAGGTGAGAGCCAAGACTCCACATAATGACATCACTACATATTCTTGAAAGGAATAGACCAGAATACCTAATGTGTCGTACCCTTCATTTATTTTTTTTCCTCTGCCTCCCACACTTGTCCAACGGTACGATTTTCCATTCCCCTTCAATTTGCATGTGCTTTATTTAATGTCCAGCATCTAACCAGTGCTCTGTTTAAAGCTCTCCATTTGTTGAGCATAAGCGATTTCTGAATGTGGGATGAAATCTTGAATGAGAAGAATGGGTACTGAGCCAACATAAACCTTAATAGTCAGGAGGTGCAAACAAATGGGAGCAGGACAGAAGGGCGCATTCCCCCTCACCCACCCCGCTAGGATCCGAGGCTGTTAACCTCCGAGGAATACCTCTGCCCTCCCGACTGAGGGAGACAAAAGAAGGATTCTTTCTGCACCCAGGCTGGCTCGTTTTCCAATGACAATCTCTTGTTCCAGTTGCTTTTTGAGATATCTGCTCTGCTCTTTCTCCCAGGCATTAGACCAAGAAAAACATGCTCACGAGATTAGCCCATAGGCATTTCTTCTGACCTGGCTAAAGAAAGAAAAGAGACCTGTTTGTTTTAAAAAGTCAGGAACAAAGTGTCAGGTGGCTTTGATTTATGACAGAGAGGAAGAAGAAAGTTGAAGTAATAGCACTATCCAAATAACCCTGCCCAGGAAACAGGGGTCAAGAGAGCTTATCAAGAGCCTTTTATAGGTAAGCTCTTCCGTGTGGAATAGAACAGGCCGGAAAGAGGGTGAGAGCCCAAGGAGCAGCCTGTGAACCTCCTTGTGTTGGGATTGGAGCCAGTCCTGTCCCCAGCGATAGCTTGGCATGTGGTCACAGGTGAGCCAACAACAAACAGAAAGAGAAAACCTGCTCTTGTCTGGAGTTTCCATCTTTCCAACAAGATCCCAGCACCAGTAAATACTTTAGTTTTTTGTTAATAAAATCAGTGTAAGTACTGAAACTCCTACTTTCCTGTCCCGCTCGGCCTCCCGAGCTGCCTGTGAGGCCCCGTTTGGGGACGTGCCATGCTGCTGCCCTCTGAGCCTTCCTGGCCGGCTGCAGGGGCCTGGGGGCCACCAGTCCTGCGGGTCACCAAATTGCCATTTGAATGCAACAGCTTGGTGTTGTCTTTCTCATGCG